TCCGTGTCAAAAGGTGTGCAGGGTAGGTGGAACCACCATGCGACATTGCCCCATAGTGTCCAGGGATGTGCAGGCTAGGTGGCTTAGCCATGGGAAATGCAGGGATAGGGTGGATTCTTGGTGGGTTCTTTGGAAGGTCATGTGCACTCTGGGCCAAATGACCTGTTTCCACGCTGGGATTCTGTGATTCTGAACTTGAGCTTAAAACTTTTACAGCCATCAGAAAAACCACTTAGTTTGGATCTGCACCTACATCTCAATTGAATGTCAAAGACAAAGGTCATTTCTCCAACTGCGCCACCTTTTAACTTTTTTTTGAATTGCTTCTTTTGAATGAGTAGAACTATGTCAAGCAGAAAAACGTTAGTGGCTGAGTGTAGTTGGTTAGTAACATTGTATTGTTACTTTTATGCTGGTGACTACCTGATCATAAACATTCAGGTTCTGACCTAGACCCTTCCTAGTTGGTAACAATGCATGAGCAATATATAAAGTTCTGTATGGATAAATGTGCTGTTGGATTTTGTTTTTTGATCTGTGTATGACAAGCAGGCTCAACTAAACCAGCACTTCTCACTTCCATGTTCACATCAAAGGTGTTACATGATGGTGACCTGTTTAACATGTCAAAAGTTTTCACTGTTTGAAAGCATTTCTCTTGTGCAGCTGCTGATTTGCAGGGGGGTGCAGAGAGGGAGAGATGCACTGTTGTAACAGTAGCCCTCCCTGAGGAGTTTTAATAAGCACATTCCACTTTTCAATTCTTTCAGTTGAGGGTTTATTCCAAATAAGCTATAACAGCTTGGCGAACCACAATTGTGCAAATCTTGTCCATTTCTCTAATTTTATACTGTCTGGAGATTGTAGAAACTTACACATTCCAAAATACTGATCGAAGTACACTTCTTTTTGGATTGGATAGTCTTTTTCTTGGAGATGTTCATATTATCCCTTCCTACTAAGCTGTCCTGGCAGATGTACTGAACACATCCCATCAACAATTTGGCAGTAAACTCCCCTGAAAGCTGCTATACCCATGCACTGGGCACCCCTCCCACCTCATGAAAACGTTTCATCCATAAGCTGGGCATTAGCAGTTTGAGGATGCAACTAGAGTTGGTTTGAAGCTATGGTATATGGAGCAAGCCATTTTAACATTTTAAGTGGGAGGCGATGGCCTAGTGGTATTATAGCCGGACTGTTAATCCAGAGACCTAGATAACATTCTGCGGACTCCGGTTCGAATCCTGCCACGGCAGATGGTAGAATTTGAATTCAATAAATATCTGGAATTAGCAGTCTAATGATGACCATGAACCCATTGTCAATTGTTGGAAAAACCCATCTAGTTCACCAGTGCCCTCTTTAGGGAAGGAAACTACCATCCTTATCTGGTCTGGCCTACATGTGATTCCAGACAAACAGTAATGTGGTTGACTCTTAACTGCTGTCCGGGCAATTAGGGATAGGTAGTAAATGCTGCCTGGCCAGCGACTCCCTCATCCCATGAATGAAATTTTAAAAAACAGGAAACAAGGTACTAATTGAATTCCATACATGGAATATCGTTCAGTAGTTGTGAATACTTAAGCTTGTGTTCAAGCTGTACAAGACGGATGAACTTACGAGAGCATTTGAAATGAGCTGTTTTAAACCTATTTTTCTTTTCTGACTAACAGCCACCTCTCCCACATTTGGGTACAAGAAGCTCAAGTGAGCATCATCTAAGCCCTCAATGTAATGCTGATGGGCAAAAGCGTTACCAATCTTGACTGTTTGTTTTTCTTTTCCCTGAATCGTTAATGTCCAGGCCATTGAAAATTTCCACTTGCCAAACTATGAGATTATAAAACTGAGCAGGTTGAGGAATGAAACTGGAACCTTCCTAGGCTCTTACCCAGCTTCTCCAGACTAGCTCGTTGGCTCAGTGTGGGTACCAGTTTGAAACAATTGTATCACTTGCTAGTTTTCAGTATTTGCATCCTCTTGTGTTTTATGAGAGATTTTTGCAGTGGTTTGTGGTCACTTGATGTCAGACTTGTTTCCTTTTTCCTGTTTTGGAGAGATTGGAGCTCATTTATTAGCGTAGTTGTTAACCAACCTTTTATGGATCTGTTCTATAATGCTGTACTTTCATGCACCAGATGGAGAGTCTCTACGCAGTGTCTTCAGAGCATCTTGCTTCTCCAACTCCTAGTGCACGCTCTCGCCCTCTTTCAACTACACGCTCTGCTTCAATCAGTGCTAAAAAACAGAAGAGAATCCCTCTTTATCAGAGATCAGTAAGTGAGGAAGCATTGATTAGTGATCTTGCAGTCATACTAACAGCATGTAACAGTTGCATTGCAATTTGGTTTGATTAGGGAGTAAATGCACTTTCATATTTTAAACATTAGACTTCAAATCATGCATGTGAAAATATTGGTGTCAGAGCATCTCTGATTTGTTTGTGGTACATAATGTGAAGAAGACTTTTTTTTTCTCTTCAGTGGAATTAAATGTACCTTGATTTTAACACAATGCATTGAATCCAGTGCTTTCAGAGTGTCTGTTTTGAGCTGAAAGCCTGATTTTGAATTATATAGAACATAGTTGTGTTTCCTCTAAGCATTTGAGAGATGGTGATATTAACTTGAGGGTTCAGAAAAGGTTTACAGGATATTGCTGAGACTAGAGAGAGTTTATCTATGGAATTCACTGCCACAGAAGGCTGTGGAGGCCAGGTCATTGAGTACTATTAAGACTCAGGTTCTTGATTATCAACGGTTACGCGGAGAAAGCGGGAGAATGGCCTAACTTCTGCTCCGGTGTCTTATGGAATGGGGTTGAGGAACTTATTGGCCATGATTTGAATGGCAGAGCAGACTATGGGCTGAATGGCCTAATTTCTGCTCCTTTGTCTTTATGGTCTTACAAGGAGAGGTCGGATAGGCTGGGATTTCTACGCTCCAGTGATATGAGGTTGAGGGGTGACCTTAGAAGTTTATAAAATCATGACTGGCATAGATAAGGTGAATAGCAAAGGTCTTTTCCCCACGGTGGGGGGGTTGAAAACTAAAAGGCATACTCTTAAGATGGGAGGAGAGAGATTTTAAAAGGGACTCAGCAACTTCACGCAGAGGGTGGTTTGTATGTGGAGTGAACTGTCAAAGGAAGTGGTAGATGCAGGTACAGTTGCAGCATTTAAAAGATATTTGGGCAAGTACATGAATAGGAAAGATTATAGAGGGATTATAGATTAAATGCAGGCAAGTGGGTCTAGGGAAACTTGGAGTCGGGACAAAGGGTCTGTTTTTGTACTCTGACTCTACATTCCCTTTGTTAGGGTGATGGATTTCAAACCAACAGCAGATGGGGAAATTAATGAACAATGTACAACTTTATTGGGAAAACTTTTTTTGAAAGACCACTTTCAGTCACCAGATTTAGAGAACATTGGAATATCAATGTTTTGGGTGTAGTGCACTGCAACATGCTCAACTGGGATTCAATTTGGGAAAAGAAAATATAAAGGTATATTTAAATATCTTTGTAGTACAATAAGTCATAATTACCAATAAAACCTGATCTGTTTGCCAGTCATTTAAGCTAGCTTAAGGTAAATATTGCAGTACTCGTTTTACTTCCTGAAGTTCTAAGGATACTGTCAACCAAACAAGTGTATGATCTAAATATTCAAGCAGGAATTATTTGCATCATGCTCTCATTTCTTTGAGAATAGGCAAAACGAGAGAGGCACAACCAGGGCTCTCCTGTCCATAGCACAGGGTATGGGTTTTTCAGAACAATTTAAATACCTCAAAGGGTCAGTGCATTTAAAAAAAAAACAACTAGATTTTTCTCATTCTTGCTGATTTGCAGGCCTTTATGGAGCAGCTGTTAGGCATTATAGCAGTGCAATAGGCCATGTCCACCAACCAAAAAAATCGAAAGGGGCCTCAGCTGTCAGAAATTGGTCTAAGCTTCACAGCAGCTGCTGTCTTGCAGCTTGTGATCCTGAGGTTTTAATCTTGTTTAGGAAGCCACACTCGTTATCTCTTTGCTTGCTTTTTCTTTTTTAGACATGATGCACAATGTTTTTAACATAACTGACTAAAAGCTGCTTTGTTTTCCTAAATGAATACTGACTAATACAGCTGCATGTTGAACTTCTAGCTAATCCTTGGACTCTTTCTGCAGTATTGATTTTGTGAGAATTGATCTTCAGCCTTTTTTAGCCCTTTTTTAAAATAAAATTTCGATACCGCACTGTTGAGTGGCAATAAATGCTTTCTTGAGTATCTCAATTTCAGTGATTTTTTTTTTGAGGCATCTTCCATTTGGAGAAAGCAAAGTATTTAGTTGCTTGTTATGTATCTTTTTGATATTTAAAGCTTTCAAAATTTCTTAGGGTTCTATATTCATCTTTTAAATCAAGGATGCTGTGAGGTATCCATGAAATGATCTCCATGTAAAACAACTTCACAGTTGTCAGAAATTTGCATGGTTTGTTTGTTGAAATGGCCTTGCAGTATATCATGCTATTTGAAACTTAAGCATCTCATCAAAGCTCTTTTTTCTTGAATCTTTCCCACGTCCTTTAGTTACAAAGGCAGCCAATTAAACTCTGGTCTAAACTGCAGTAAGTTTAAAAACTCTGAGCTGACTAATTTAACTGACAAGCTTGGCACACACAATATCTGTACTTGTATTTTAACTTTCATTTTGTCTCTGCGCAAGGTGTACACACAGTTCACCTTGTTAAAGATTTGCCTTTTTATGTACTTCACCCTTGAATTATTCACTGGTTGTTTTAGTTTTTCAGCAGTTCACTGTTCTGGTAAATGTTCAGGTTTAAATCTTTAGTGCTTAACTGTCATTTGGAAAATGTCCTGATCTTTCTCAATGTCCTCTCTAGTTTCAGGGTGCCTAGGATTTCTAGTGGCTATTTAAAAGATAATTGAGATCCATATGTTCTCTCAAATGTTGACTTGGAAATATACCTTTTCTGCCCCATGCAGATGAGCTTTGATCCGAACCTCTTGCATAACAATGGCCATTCTGGTTTTGCTAATGGTACCTCAGGAGCCTTGCGTGAAACAGGCATCATTGAGAAGTTGCTAGCATCGTATGGCTTTATCCAGTGCACTGAACGTCAAGCAAGACTCTTCTTCCATTGCTCTCAATACAGTGGGAATCTTCAAGATCTGAAAGTGGGAGGTGAGAAATACTCACTGCTCAAATGTATAATGTACCAGTTCAACCCCCCTCTCAGCAGCCTAGTACATTTGGGATAAAACTGATTCTTTGCAATGAAGCTCTGTAGTTGTATAACAAGCGAAACAGTAACTTGTAAAATATAACAAATTTGGAAACTATTTCTAGAATGTGGACGATGTAATTACCTACACAACAAACAAAATAACACTGAAATGTAAGCATAAAACAGCTATAGCAGCACTGACTTACTACAATAGGAATTGTCGTAACATAATTGTCTTCCTCCATGTTGCAGTTTCTTAATTCTTGTTTAGAAGACATGAAGTTTAAAAACTCTTGCACTGAGATATAATTATCAAGTATTCCAAGCATCTCCATTAACTGTTGCAAGGAAAAGTCTAGCATTTTGTTCCCTCCATCATGCTTCTAAGTCATATTTGCTGTTGTTTTGGGTTGTATTTTATAAAAGTAAAATACCTGCATGAGTATGGAGGTTGGAGGTATATTTGGCTGGATCTTTGCTTATTTCCCAAGCTGTGAACTAGTCAAAAGTAATAAATGATTCTTCAGAATCTGTTAATGGTGGCAAAAGAATATTATAACTTCACAACGTATGACACTGAACAGCAGGCCATTCAGCCCAGTAGGTCTTGAGCTAGTGTTTTCCTGCCCGTAAGTAATATAGCACAAGGACTAAAACTCTTCAAGAAGGCAACTCACCACCACTTTCTCAAGGCAGCTGGGGCTGGGCAATAAATGCAGGGGTTAAACCATTGACCAGGAGCTGAGTTGGTCGAGCCAACTAAATATACAGCTACAATAGCAGGTTAGACTGAATTCTGTAGCAAGTAACTTATCTCCAGAATCCCCAAAACATGCCATTTATCTAGAAAGTCCAGATCAGGATTGATGGGTTATTGTCCATTTGTCTAGATGAGTGCAACTGTCTTGTTCAAGAATCTTAATTGTCCAGGAGAAAGCAGCCCATTTCGTTGACACCTCACTCCATTCATTGTATGCTTTCACCACTCAGTGGTAGCAGTGTGGCACTTCACTGGAGCAACTTGCCAAAGTTCCTTCAATAGCAAACTTGTACCACTTAACAGGATCAGGGCAGTAGATGTATGGGAATGCCTGCCTGTAAGTTCTTCAAGTCAGAACAGAATGGAGCTTGGAACTAATATCAAAATTCCTTCACTATCACTGTGTTTAAATCCTAACGCTCCCTAACAGTGTTTAACTACTTACATGGGCTGCCTTGTGGTAGGAAGGTGGCTCATGCCTTTCTTGAGGGCATTTGGGATAAGCAGCAGAAACCGACCTGACCCATTTATATGTTCAGTATAAACTTTCTCACCCTTGACCTAGTAGGAACTGGGTAATGATTAATCTGAATTGATCTGCAGATGATGTGGAATTTGAAGTATCTTCTGACAGACGGACTGGAAAACCAATTGCTGTGAAATTGCTAAAAGTGAAGCCTGAAATTTTGCCTGAAGAAAGAATTACAGGACAGGTAAGGATCACTCATTGTTAGACTATTCTGGGAAGTGTCTTTTTCAACATTGGTTCATAACTAGATTTTTGTTTTTTAAAAGACCTGGTAATTGTTTTCTCCATCAAATGTTTAATTGCATTCTGTAATATTATCATGAATCCAGTATGAATGCAATATCTACATCCAATGTCTCTACTTATTTCAAAATATCATTTTGTACCAGTTTTTCAAACCAATTTTGAATGTTCTGAGGAGGAAAGCATGCAGCAAGCCTGATCTTTTTCAAATCCCAAATATCAACACTTTCATAACTAGGGGTGGGTGTAAAGGTTGCTGCTTTAAACTCTTTGTTCTCCACATACCATTGGTCACCCCCTAAACCCATAAATCTCATGTGGAATGTTGAGCTTTTCAGTTTGTGCTGTTTTGGAAGAACACTTTGTCTGCATCTCCCAGGTAGTGGTACTGAGAATAATTGTCTGGTTTTGGTGTCTTGATCGTGTTTTGAGATTTCTGTGCTGTCGAATTTCACATGTACAAAGCCCAATGAGGCCCTGTGCTTTGAAACAAAGGAATGACATGTTTGCTGTTTCCAAGCTCAAATCCCAATGGCTCTCTTGTGCAAACTTGGATCTAAAAATAGTCTTCACGTGTAAGAGATGTCATATCAAAGTTACATCAGAAGAAACCCTATAACACTTTCTCCTTTTATGTTGTTGCATGAGTTGTCAATAACTGCATTCCAACTCAATTAATCTAAATAAGCAATAATTGTTTTCACCCTTCTTTCTGTTGTCACGCACTGTTCCCCTTCTTCCTTTCTGTATGACATTCGTTTGTCTTATTCCTGTGAAATTGTGTGGACAAGAATATTCCCTGTCTCGACTCTTCTGTTTTTCCCTTTGGCTAACTTTTATTGTTTGAGTACCAGCTTCTTCAAGGTGCTTGTAACTGACCAAACTTTAGCTTCAAATTTAAACAGTGACTGTGTGAAAGAGTTCCAAAAAAAAATTGAGCGGGAGCCAGGCTAAGTAGATGGAACAGTCAGAATTGACAACAGACTGATCTGAATTAGTGGAACATTAGCAGTTCCAGGATAATTTCTTTCCCTTTTCAGCTGTCTAGTTGTTCCCTGTAAGTGATTTTCTGCTGATCAATTCTACATCTGTTCTCTGCTCAATTAGTTTCCATTATATATCACCATCAGTGAGAGGTTGTAAACTGTTCAGTCCTTCATATGACTGTTATTGGATTCACATGTTTATCTTTTTGGTTCCAGTCAATTCCCCCATTTTGTTCGTTTTTGGCTTGTATTGTCTGATCATCAATAAAATTACACAAGAAACCATCATCTTACCAAAGATTTAGTTTGTCCCAAGTAGACAGACTTGAAACTTCTAGTTTTGGTTTTGAATATTGCTGTCAAAACTCTGCTAGCACCTTCCTGCTTAGTAACATTTCTTCTTTCACTGTTGAAATAAACACCATTTGCTATTCTGAACCATTCTGTAGCTCCTCATTACCAGGGGCTTTTATCTTTCCTGTGCCTGTTCTTCAGTTCTCTATAGTGCAAGGACCTTTTGAATCTAAAGTAGTATCATGCTTTAACTTATTCCTTCCTGGGCCTGCACAGTGGAATTTCTTGACTTTTCAGTTTGTCATGTCTAATATTTTTGCGGGGATATCTCGGGTGCTGCTATGTTGTTCTTGACTCTAGAAGTCCTGCACTAAAGACCTTGGCCCTCATACTAGATCATTCAACTTTTTAAATACCTGGGAATTTCAGAATTTAAACTAATGATTTAGAGAAGACAGTTCTAATATATATGAAAACAAATGAACAGCATCTCCTCAAAGTGTAGTGGTCAAATTCGATGTAAATTGTATCAGAATCTAAATCTGTAGTGATGTTTACATTTCAATACGGAAGATCTTCGTCAGGTAAGTGTGTCTGAAGTGCAAAAATTCTGGGAGCAAGCTCTTTGTTTTAGGTGATTTTTTTTTTTAAGATTTGTGATCAAGGACAAGGGGCTTTTCAGGAGAAGTGATTTATGAACTGACGTTCCCAAAAACACATTAATTCTTCCATAACCTAACCGGTATTAAGCCCACTGTTTCTGGTCCATATTTCTTATTTTTTTAAAGGGGTTTATTTCTGGAAGAGAAGAGTTTTAAGGCTCAGCTGTCTTGAGGCAGAACATAATTTGCTTACTAAACATTTGTAGGGATTCTGCAATAGCTTTCAGATATGACTGTCACGTTGTACTTTTTTTGAACAGAAACACACCCCTTTAAAGGATTTGCAGGTGGGCTTCATAGCATATGTTGGGAGCTCTCAATTTTGCCTCTTCTGTGCTAGGCATATTGCTCACACTTCTGGCCCAACAATGTTAGAATATTACACAGGTCAGTTTTATTGACGAGGCTGTATAAATATACAGTCTGTAAACACATTGGTGGGATCTGAATGGGCCTGACATGTGGACCACCTCCTACAAGCATGCAGAGCTTAAAATACACAGTGTATGACTGTTTGTTTGTTTTTCCAATGGAATTGTCCTTCAGTTGCACCAAGCTTTTTAAAATTTCTACTTGAAACCGATCCTTGCCAGTCTTCCCTCCTTTTTTTTTCCTCCTCCTTAGCTGCAATCCTAAACGTCTTTCACGTGAGGCAACATTTATTCACGGGCATCCCTGCTTAAGGCTGAAACAGGAGTATCATGAAAAGATCTCCACCTGGACATTATAGCAGGTTGCTTCTTACAGCCATCTTCCTGTTTTGAGCAGCTAATCCTATGGGGAGGAGGAAATTTCACTGACACACTTTGCTCTCATCCTCTAGTCAAAACAAGCTTGAGGCTTCTCGTTTTGAGATTATTAAAGTACATGGGGTTTTTTGTGATCTTTAATGCCCTTTTCTTCCTGCCCCTGTTCTCTTCCGCACCTCGAGTCACTTTATATTCCTATACTAAAGTGGACAGGAAAACATGATGAATCGTGTTCTTTTATAGATGCTTAAACTGAGGAAAGTACCTATAAAGCCTCCCGACCTTGTGTCCAAACCTCGACGTGTCAAGTTAAAATTGAAATTCCAGGTTCTCTACAGTACAGCCCTTTTTATCAAATCATAGTTGTACTTTGGCCAATACGTATTAGTTGTCCTTGTGTTGGTATGTTATCACTATAACCAAATTGGACATTGTGCTTGTCGAGCATATGGTGGGCCACTGGGGTTTTCAGTAGTAGAAAAAAATGCAGATATATTGGAGCTGTTCATACAGTTGCCTGCATAGAAACATCAGCTAGATAAGGATGACATAGAAGAAACTCTAGAGAAAAAGACTTTGGTCTGCTAGTTGTGATTTGAGTGCTGTGTATTTTCAGCCTTGATGCAAGTTTACTGTCTTTCTGAGGATAAGTAGCTACACTGGTTGGATTTCAGTAAATTCAAACAAGCCTGTCCAGGATATTTCAGATGGCATATCCATGCTAGTAACCCAACTAACTAACCAACCAAGTACAAGTGATGAATCTGCACAGAAGGGGCTTTTTATTTGAAGTCTGATCGATCATATTAAATTGAATAAAAGATGATTTAGTGAGGGATAAATTCCTGTTGCTGATCATCTAATCTCTAGGTTATTAGGATAAAGAACAGGAATCTGGTTAATTCCAATTATTTTTGTCTTATGCCTTGTCAAACTGTTTCCTCAAAGGGCAGTGTTTTATGTCCACTCCGTTCCTTGACACTTTTTTGACTGTTGAAAATAGCATTAACTAACGTGGTCCATGGTTGTAGTTGATAGTTGATAGTCAAGATTTCCCTCTTGTGAAATCAGGACAAAGGATTGGTATAATGTACAGTCCATAAGGCCTTGTTGTCTGCAGTGCTCGTAAGAGAGTGTGGAACACTTGCATTGTGATGCACAAGAATTATAATCTGCATTCTGGACTCTATTAGTGGGGTTGGATAGGGAATTTACTTGACTAAAAATTGAGGGGGTAGAGTAGAGTAGCTATTAGTGGGGTACTAGATCTGTTTTATTGTTTTAGATATGAGAAAGTTTCCCTGATTAGATACGGTCATTCTTGTGGCTTGAGTATCAGCCAACAGGGTGAGTCAACTGCATTCTTAGTGTCTTTTTGTTTTGATGGTCAGGTGTGCTTGTTAACTCCAGTTCCTTTTTAATTGGTATCTAAAGTTCCTGGTGGCTGTACAATGTTCTGCCTTTTTTCCCCAAAAAATCTCCTTGGAGATTAACGTGGACCGCAATGATGCAATCTTCGTACTTTGTGTAAATACTGTGATATGATCATCTTTGGGGATATTAGTTTGACTGGCTAGTCGATAAAGAATGTAAATTGATTGAACCTGTTACTTTTTGATGTGCAGATATCATGGAAGATAATGAAAAGTATATTCTAAAGGCTTTAATTTTATTTTGAAGTACCACTATATATTCTTCACTTGAGCCAATTTAAATTGTATTCAGTAACTGGGATCTTCTATCATGAAGTTAAACTATGTAGCATTTGATCTTCGTTTCACTGAGCTCAGGTCTGGTCTACTCTCTAGTGCATTTAGGAATGGGTAACTGATTATATGAGGGATTGGAAGGGATATTCTGCATATGAGTGTATGGAAGGGAACTTGATATGATCTGTAGGAGACCATTTGAAGGGACAGAACTGTAATTATTCCATTGTATCACTTTATTTTTCCCATGGTATGTGGAGGATAACTTATTTTCATGATTGAAGGAAGGAAACTAATACCTTCATGGTGAGTAAGCTACCTTTATTTAATAGAAGATAAATTTCTTACTATTAATTGGTGTCAGCAACTAGTTTCTTAGCAACCACTGGCCTTTTTTAAACTTTTTAAACCAACAAATCAACTGGAAATCAGGGGTTGAAAAGTTGAATGTAGTGGTTTGGAAACAGGCATGCCAATATATTCCGGTTGTCAGGCCATTGTAGATCTGATATTACTGTTTTCAGTGCTGAATTACTGCTAC